TTCTGGGGCCTTTGAAGCAGTATATATCATTCTAGAAGAGGAATGAGCAATCAGCAGCAGAGTTGGAATTCAGATGAGACACACAATAGAACTTTCAAGAAGTGAGGATTGGTAAACCCTGGATAGTGCAGGCATTCTTCTCTTTCCAGTGTCTAGGTGAAGAAATAGAGAATTCTGTAACTTGAATATCATAGCACGATCCTGTGTAAAGGCACAAAGACAGATGAATTGGTCTCATTATCATATTTCCCATTATCTCAGTAATTATTTGAATCATTCACTGTTCACCGGACATTTGGAAATGGGTACAGGCTGTCAAGCGCCCTGATGTCCCTTGCTTCTGATGGATGATTAGCCCTATCATCCTCAGGGGCATTATGGGCACAGAGATAGTAAGGGGCTCACCCCAGGTAACACAGTAATACCAACGAGGAGGGACTTGAACTGCATCAGGAGGAGCCATAGCTATGTCTCTGGACTGGAGGTGCTGTCTCTGTGGATCACTAGGGAAAAGCATGCATGAGTCAGTCTAGCTCCTGCTTTAGAGTGCCAAGGTAGTCAAACCCTAGAATCACTTTTCCCTAATCTTTTGGAATTCTGAAACCCATTTCCAGTGTAGGAGAGGTGGTGCCCCAAACTTCCAAAAAATGATGCTAGGACACCAAGTGGGTATTTTAGAACCATCTCAGTTCTGACACTGTCTACCCAGACATTGCATCATATTCCATAGGTTAAGAACTGAGCCCTAAAAGATTGCCCCCACTCTAGTTCAGACTCTAGTTGCAAACCAGGGTGTTACCTGGACTTCTGAGTAACTGACTACAGAGGTTCCCATAAACTCCTCCTCGCATTTGAAACATTTGTTAAGTCAATTCCCAGACCTCTGAGAAACACTTTACCTATTAGACTACCAGCTTATAACCAAAAGATATGATAAAGTATACAGCTGAGCATCCAAATGGAAGAGATGCATAGGGCAGAGCCTGAGGTGGGGGATGGAACTTTTGTGCCTTCTATAAGTGTTTCATTCTCCCCAAATCTCCACCTGTTCACCAACCTGGAAGCTCTCTGAATCCCATCCTTTTGGATTTTGATGGAGGTTTTATGATGTAAGCATAACTGATGAACTCATTGGCCATTGGTGAGTGATTCAACCACCAGGCCCTCTCTTCACCCTGGAGGTTGGGTGATGAGACTAGAAGTGCCAACTTTCTGATGCCTTGGGTGGTTTCCTTGGCAACCAACCTCCATCCTGAGGTGGGGACCAAAAACCATCTCAAAACACAGAAAAACACATCCTTATTACTTATAACCTATGTGATTCCAAGGATTTTAAGATTTCTTTGCTAGAAATGGGGGCTATGACCATATATATCTCTCTCTCTATATATATACACATACACATACACATACGCATATATATATACACACATATGTATATATATATATTTATTAAAGAGATAGGCAGCTATATAGGACTTACACTTTTAGGTCCTGCTTCTCCAATATAACTCAAACTTCAGTTCTTCCATCAGTTTATCAAAATAGAAGCATTTTGTTCTCATTCCCTCAGGCTACTGCTTTCTGTTTTCCCAGGTAGAAGCAGCCCATCTCATAAGCTGAGACCTATCACTATGCTAGTTAGTGAAAACAAATATGCAGTACAATTGCTGCCTGTCCTCTGTGCTGTGCTGGTGGCAGACATTACTAATCCATCACAGCACTTTTCCTGGGATACAACCTCAGAAACCTTCTCCAAACATCCTTTAGATAGCCACTGTCTAAATAGCCACTATTGGAGTTGGCATTTCAGATTTAATGATGGAAAGGGGATAATTGTGGATAATGGAGACCCAGAAGGTGAATTACATTGTGAACTCCTTCAGGGAAGGGAACATGTATCATTTACCATTGGTTCCCTCCATGCCCAAGACTGTACCTGACCAAGTCTAAGCATTAATTAATGATTATTTAACCAAATATGGCCTGACTTAAGGTGCTAATAGATGATAATTTCAACAGCATCAGCAATTGTAGCTTCATTAATGAGTGTTTCTCTGAACTGGCTGGCCACTGAACTGGCTGGCTAAGCCCTTCTCAGGTGATATTTTATGTAATCCTCACAAAATACTCATGAAAACCCTATGAAATTTGGACTAACATTTCCATTTTGTAGATGGGGAAACTGAGGCAAAGATTAGTAACTAGCCCAAGACCCTTCAGATGGACACAGCTAGACTTCAGATCTTTTTTTCTAAGTATAGTGTTCTTAATCATATGAATAGAAACTATTATTTTTTAAGCAAACCACATTCTAAATGCTATTGTATGAAATGTGTGTGCATTAACTCCATTCATCCTTATAGACAGTTAACTTAAATATAACATTGAATCTTTAGAAAAGCTTTATATTACTGATAAAAAAAAAAAAAACAACTCAGTCACAGATCAGAGAAGTCACTCTTCCAGGATACAGCAGGGCTGGAGTTTGAACTGAGGCAGCCTGACTTCCAGGTCCTGAATTTATTCCCCAAGACTCCCAACTTAGAAGTCTCCACACCTCGTTCCTCTCAGTATGTTGTTCACCAGTTACTGATGTAGTGATCTTTTATACACAATCCCATGCACCCTGGTATGTCTGGGCTACCAAGGACCACGCCCCGCCCCCTCCAGCAGAAACAGAAACTGTATTTTTCACAGGCTTCACTTCTCCCCACAGAATCACAGCATCCTACACTTCAACTTCTTCACCTCTAAAACCGAGGGATAAGAGCAGCTTCCTCTCCCACCTCACTTGGCTGCTGTTTCAGATCACAAAGCAAATGGGAGTGTTATCAACATTCTAGGAACTTAGAACAGAAGCAGCCTGGGAGATGTTGATTGATCTTGATGGGTAGACTCCCAACTACCTCTCCTCTGCAGGTGACTCAGTTCAGACCCCAAATGCCATGACGAAGCATGGTTTTAAATAGCCCAGGCTACTTAGGGAACCAATTCTCCATGGCTTTTAAAATGACATCAGTTCAGTGTTACTTCAGTTAATTTTTTTAATTCAATGACACAGCTTCAGGGTAGGAAACAGGGCCTGAGCGTCATCGGGGAGTGAGAATTTTCTCTTGGGGGAGAGAAGTGAGTCTAGTTTCCACTTTCTTCTACCTCCCAACTCCCCAGCCTGACCCCCACCTCCTGGCAGTGGCCAACCACCTTAAGGCCTCAAGTGCAGCTCCAGTTGTCGACCAGAAGGGGTCGCTGTGGAGCGACAGCGCTCACAGGCACTCGCAGAAGCGGACACGCACCTACCCACATGCACAGGCATCCAGATGTCGGTTTTGTAGCTTCTGCACCCATGCTCGGCTGCTCCAAGGTTCTTTCTCCTTCTCGTCCCCATTTTTTCTCTCTAACTTCCTCCTTCCCTTTCTCTCCTATTCCCTTCCTGTTTCCTTGCAAAGAACTTCTGAAGTTCCCATTGGTGCCCTGGTCCCTTGGGTCCCGGTTGCTAGGAGCCTCAGGAAGAAGCAGGGGTTTATATCTGCTCTGGACAGAATCTGATACCAGGTGCTGGGAGGCCTTAAAGATCGGGCGAGGGCTCCTTCCAGGAACTTGCAGCCTGCGCGTGGGAAGGCTCCAGGGCAGGACACCTCAGGGGTCCTGCATCTGTCTCTTTCTTAATGTAACCCCATGGAAAGGGAGAGGAAGAATTAGAGAAATATTGTCCAGATCCTCTGATCTCAGGGCTCAGGTGTGATTTCAAACTTCCACTTTCTCAGATTAGACTTGAATTGCGGGAGAGAAGATGGGGAAGAGATAAAAAAGTAACTATCACCTGCAATCTTCTGCTACCCCCTTCCACCTTATCCCCCAGTATTTTCTGAATTTTTTTTTTTTTTAAACCGGTTGAGCTGAATTCCCCCGCTTGCATGGGCTGGATGGGGCGGGGGACTCTCCCATTTGGAAGCGCTTGGCGGCGGGGACTCGGGCTGGGCTGGCTGCAGGCACAAAGCCCGCTCCCCGCCGCGCCGCGTGCACAGATGCCGCGCTGCGCCCCTCTGCGGGCTGGGGCGCTGCTGGGCAGATGGCGAGGAGCCTGAAAAGCCGAATTGGGGACGGATTGTCCATCAAACGGCACTTTCTGGGTGGTGGGGATTTCGCAGCGGGCAGGGCACCTTCTTGGCCGGCTTAGGCGGCCCCTCCCGGGAGCAGGGGTGGGCGGGCGACTCGGGCGGAGAGGGTAAGTTTTGCGCTTCCCTTCCACGGGGAGACCCGCTCCAGGACTCGTGAAGCGAAGCGGCTGGGAAGGGAGGTGGCCGGGCCCCGAGGCACGCAGGAAGGGCTGGGTGGGGTGGGGGAGCGGGCGGTGGGGGGTGGGATAAGGGGGTGGGAAGCAGGATCTCCAGCTGGGTTCGGTTCGGGGCGCCCGGATTGCTTCCCCAGGGGTCAGCTCTGCAACTCCGTGGCCGCCGGCCCGGGTGACAGGCGCACGCCCCGCCCTTTCCCCCTCCCTGGACCTGCGGGCTTTTGTTATGCAGATGGCGGCGGGAGGCTGAGCCGAGGGAGGGGGGAGTCGGTGGGAGGAGCAGAGACCGGGAGGGGGAGGAAAGTACAGCTCTCGCGACCAGCCTCCTCCTCCAACGTCACATTGTGCGAGAGACAAAACCCGGGCGCGCCTGAGCTCACACGCGCGCACACTCGGCGACCCCAGGCTCCTCTCTCCTGGCGCCGCCGAGGAAGCCAGCCCTGCCTTCCCGGGCCGGGGCGCGGGCGTCGGAAGCCCAGAGCGCAGCCTGGAGCCAGCCCAGAAGGCACACAAACCCGAGGACCAGCCTCCTTTCTCCCCCGCCTGCCTGGACGGAGGCGCCCCATCCCCCGCCCCGAACCCCGATCTCTCCCTGCGCACCCCTGTGGGTTTCACGCGGACGGAGCCCGGCGCCGGGTGTGCCCCGTGGCGGAGCCGCGTTTCAGCACTTCGGACAGCGCCCGGGCACCCGGCCCTTGGGTTGGCGATGGCCAGCGTGCAGCAAGGCGAGAAGCAGCTTTTTGAGAAGTTCTGGCGAGGGACCTTTAAAGCTGTGGCCACTCCGCGTCCCGAGAGCATCATCGTCGCCAGCATCACAGCCCGAAAGCCGCTGCCAAGGTAATGACCTGCTCCTCGAGAGGGGAGACTCTGACCGCCCCTCTTGCTGGCCTGTGCCCCGGAGTCCTGAGGGGTGGAGGATGCTGGCAGCTGGGCCAGGGCGCCTGTCTCTTCTGCCAGTCCCGGGTAGCTCCCGCTGGAGGATGGGAACTAATTGCTTGTCTGAGGGGGAAGCTGCTGAGAGGCAGAGGAGGGTCCTGGGGAAGCAATACTCCTCGGTCTGCTGACCGGCAGCTGCTATTCAAGAGGTGTCGCCTGCTCAGGGTGGGCGGTGTCGGTTGGATATGACTTGACTGAGAAACTTTTCTTGATATCACAGAGCTCGGGGTGGGGGGGGTTGGCGAAGGGAGGGTAGGTTTTGTGGTGTTTGGGGGTGTTGTGCAGAAAGAGACGACCAGGCTTGAGCCATTTCAAGCAGTGTTCAGAAACAGGGACACATTTCTATACTCAGCTCAGAAACTAGCGAGCTCTGAACGATTTGCAAAAGCCCATATGCTGTTCTTTCAAATACACCCTAAACAGCACCCTCCCCCACGCCTCTGGCTGCTGTTGCTACCAAATCCTCTCCCTCTTCAGCATCCAAAGCCAGGACTCTGAGCTCAGGAGTCAGGGGGAGCCTCCAAGAGTGTGAAGACAGTCTTGGAAGAGTTTTATTTGTTGTTTTTTTTTTTTTTTTTTTTTCAAAAAGAACCTGATTGCTTTGAACTCAGGGATGAGAACAGATCCCTGAGGGGGGAGAGCATAAAAAAGGAAAGAGAAAAAAGACAGAAAGAGGGAATGGAGAGAAATGGAAGGGAGGCTGGGGCAAACAGAAATGTTTTGAGACAGAAAAACCCAATTCTTTTCACCAATCATTCGATTTTGAGGAGTTTGAGAATGAAAGGGAGAGGGCTGTGCCCTCTGTCAGGAAGCATCTAGGCAGGAGGAGAATTCATCTTTTCCTGGTGTTGGATGAGTGGTTCAATGGGAGAAAAGGGAAGGGAAGGGCAGGGGAGGCTGCTTGGAGGATTTATTAATCGTGGCAGACTACATTAGGGAGTAGATTGAAAACATGTCTGGAAAAGCACTTTGGACAGAATGCCTGTTCTAGCACAACTGAATCTGAACTTTGCAGTGGGTGAGGGGTGCAGGGCTGGCGGGGAATCGTATCCAAAGAATCAAACTCAGACTGGAGAACTTTTCATAGTCTGATGGGAGCCTGGCTTAGGTGGATATTTGGGGGAATGCATGCTCCGTGTTGGGAAGGGGAAGCCTGAGGGCAGTGGGGTATGGCAAGCAGCAGGCATGGCCAGTTTTTTGTGGACATGAGGGAGGGGACACCCGTTGACACAGGCTGGAGGCGGGGAACAATAACACCGATGCCTCCAAAAGCTCGTGTTTCTCTGCCAGGAAGGAGGTTCTTTGTAGAGAGTTTTGACGTCAGAGGTTTTTTATCTTCCTGGCTTTCTGTCCTTCCTGTCTACCTTTGGAGTGCCCCTGCTGCTGGCAAATCAGGTGCTGTGCTGACCAAAGAATATGCCCTTGTAGAAGGGACGAGAGGAAATTTCATCGGAAACTAAAAGTCTGGCATTTGGTCCAGAGTCTTTCTATAATTCAGGGTGTAGGGAGAGGAGAGCAGTTTCCTGGGGGCATTTTAAGTTAGAAGAGCCTGTCTAAGTCCACCTTGCTTGGTACCTTCACCCTTTGCCCATCAGTCTGCTACTGCCATGCCCATTTCTTGGCCACAATCTCAACCATAGGCATTGCCCACAAGGTCTTCCCACCCCTGTGCTTTCTGCAGCATAATTGAATCCATCTGAGACTCACAATAGCCAGCCTTCCCCGCCCAGGTGTCGTTTCACTTCTGGTGTCTTTTAATGTCCTGGGTCTTCTTTCTGTTGCTAGCAGCTCCTGAATTGAAATTCTAACCCAGAAGTCCTTTTGTCTGTCATGCTGGAAGGATCTTCTTCAGTACTTCTATAACAGGTGTGACCTCTCTGTAGAATACAGTCCTGCTTTGTAGCTGTTACTCCTGGTTTGGGATGAAGAGTGAACAGGGAGCATTTATATTCGTCTTCGTTCAGAAAGGCTAGGTTTGTGTTCTCTTCTAGCAGACTGGCTATAAACCCTGACTCATCTCTATTCTCACCCAAAACAGCCACATCTAGTGATGGTCAGTTTCCACCTCATTTTTTAATAGTCTATAATAAAAGAACCCCTCTTTCTAAAACAGAGTTCTCAGGAAAGAAAGGGACAGATCCTGGTAGAGCATCCACTGGGCCCCAGTGACTTCCACTAGAGGCAATCTGGGGACTTGGTCTCATCAGAAACGTTGTTTAGTTCGAGTCAAGCCCAGTTCAGTCAGCATATCTGCCCAACTAGCTGACTGCAAACCACCAGCCAGTCCTGTTGGTTTCACACTTACTATTTGTTTCTAGATGAGGGCTCCCTTGTCAGTGAACTTCCCTGGGATATTTTAAGTCTGTCCCTGAAGATAATTTAGTACTAAGATAGAAGCACACATTCAATTGGTTGATTTCCTAGCAATAGGCATACATCATACACCCGCACGCCAAGCAAAACCTCCCCTCTCGTCCCCCTACTTTTAGTCCTCTCCCCCTCTGTGAGGCATACTTGATGAGGCAATAGCTTTGTCATGTATCAAATTGCAAGCAGATGTCTGACTCAAATGTCAGAACAGTATACAGAGAGGGAGGCAAGATGTTATAGTGGTTAGGAGGGCTCAGAAGGACCTGGAGCCCTGTCTTAGCTCTACAGTTTAGATGAGGGTCCTGGTTAAATGACTTTACCTGGCTAAGCCTGTTTTTCCAGGTTGCAAATAGAAATAATCATAGTTGCCAACTCAGACAGTGAGTTATGAGGACTGAGCCAGGTAAAGCACTTTCTACAGTGTGTGGTGATTGTTTAATAGACATGGCTTCTAAAACAAACAGCCCAGAGCTCTCTTGGCTAAAGGAAATCAACAATGCCTTCCAGGACCGAGTTCTTCATGCCTACCCATTTCTCTCCCGAATAATGCAGACAATAAAAATTGTGGGATTTCTGCTTCTGACAAGCAAGGGCATGTGTGTGTGTGTTGGGGGGGGGGTGGCTGTGGAGAGGGTTGAGGAGTTGGGGTGGGGGAGGCCTGGAGAGGCCCCTCTCCCCTCCAAGGGAAGGTTAGCTGCTTTCTGATCCGAATCAGTTAGGAGGTGGGTAGCTGGTGATGAATTATCTGGTTTCAGAATTGGTTCATACAACATCCTCACAGTGTGTTTTTACTTTGTGTAGAGATGACCAGGCTCATACTCCTTGAAAATCACAATTTTAATTGCTAGGTCCATCAAATCTAGAGGAACCAGATAATTTTTTTCATAATGGAGTTCCTAGCCTTCTTGAAAGGGGTTGCTGTGAAAAGCAGTTTCAGAGGGAAAGATCTCATAGGGGCTGTCCCAGGCAAACCAGGATGTCGGGGGTCTCACAGCTCGGCAGGTGGAGGAGAGCCAGCCTGAACTGATACAATTCTCGGAGTAGAAAAGACCCCCCCCCCTTTTGTTTCCACCAAAAAATTGTAGTCATTTTTCCTGGCATTCTCTGTGTTAATTGCTTAATCCAGAAAAGTTTGTACCTAAGAAGTTTAGGCTCAAAGTGGTAAACCTAACATTCGAGGCCAGCTCAGACTGAGGTACCCATAAGACAAATATAGTCAAGGACTTTGTGGACATACAAAAATCATTCCAAATGAGCCTATCAATCCTTTGTGGGTATAGGGCTATTGTCAAGCCCTGGCAAGGCAGCCCCCTTAAAGAGAACAGCTTTTCCCTTACAATTCTTTTGGCAAGCTATTAATTTTCTTCGAAAATCCTTTCTATGCAGAATAGTCCAGAAGCAGACTTCAGCCTAGTCCCTGTCCAAAAGATCATAAATTCCAAACTATTGGAGATTTTACTGCATAAAAGAGAAGGTGTCCAAATTGCAAGGCAGGAAAAATGCCTTTGAACCATTTAATTCAAGTCTCCCCTTTGTGCCAAGAGATCAGTTAGCACATTTGTGCTGACTCTGTCCTCAGAGCCAGTGAGGGGCTGTAGGGAAGTGATTTCCTGACAGCTGGTGGTTGAGATCCAGTGCACCCAGGGTCAGGGAGACCGCTTGTCCTGGAGACGAAAGAACATTCTTCTCTGGGAAGGGAGTGTTAAGGTTTGGGTCAAATTTTCCTCCTTCTGGAAGGTGAAATCTGTTGATTAGGGCACAGGGAACAGTGCGGGGGAGGGGGGTGTCACTTCTGATGTGGCTGCGTTTACTCATCAACTGGGCTATCTTAGAAATGGGCTGGCGTGAATGTGCAGTGAAAGTTGGATGCATTAATTGAATGAGTGCACCTGCTCCAAATCCAGCATCAGATTAGCTCTCTCCAGCCCTGCCCCCAGTCCTGACACACTGGGGATTCTGATCAATGCAACCCAGGAGACGCACACACTGCAAATAGGTCTGACTCTTCCCTGGTGTCAGAATGGAGCTCCCTAGGTAGAGGCAACTCTCTGGCAGGGAGAGAAGAGCTGTCAGCAGGGATGGGGGCAGGAGGTTGGGCTAACTGCCACCTGCAAGTGTTTTCCAAGCCTATGAGTCTCCAGCCCCACTTCAAGTCACCAAAAAGGAAAATAACCTATAAGCTTCCCAGTAATAGGAGGGAAGCTGGGGTCCCATGTCTTCTGCTCTGTGAGCCCCCCAAGCAAGCCCCCACAGGCACAGTACATTTAAAAACCATCCTTTCTTCCGAGTGCCTGACTTCACCTTCCGGTGAGGACAAAAATTTGTAGGAGCTCCACAAAACCTGAGCTCTTTCATTGCTGGCCACTAAGACTTTCTCTGAGGTGGGAGAGAATATTTCTGAGGTGGAAGGAGTAGAATGGTGAGGAGCTGGGGTACTGAAGTGAGTTCTAGTCAAGCTGAAATCCTGTTTTGCTACCGCCTAGTTTTGGAATCTGCTAGTCACTTGACCTCTATGGGCCTCAGTTTCCCCT